GCTACAGAGACCTCCCGTTGATAGCTCTAGAAGGACAATTAGAAAGTAGTTTGAGCAAAATTATATCTTCGAAGGTGGGGACGAGTTTTCTCCTTATGAGATACGAAACCAAACTGACTGAACTTACTTTATCTTTTTGTACTTCCTGCTAACATGCGTTGAGCTCAATTAGGCAAATTATATTCCTAAAGGACATGAGTAGAATATATAATTGCTTCATCGAGGGGCACCACACCTGAACGCAATAGCCGGACGAGTGTTCCAAATATGCACCAAGAAGTTCCTCGTCAAAACAGAGGAGGGAGCTCCTGAGCGCTCCTACGATGTCTATTGCCTTCTAATAAAAATACGTTTACGCCTCCCCGTAAGAAAGTCGTCTAGCAAATTGACAGTCCCACCTATTTGGTGCAGCCTTGAGATCAGCCGTCTGTTTGGAATCATGTCGAATTCACTACTGAAGTCAAAGTAAGTTGCATCAACCGAAAAACCCCTTTTCCGTGAATTTTTCCAGCTTTCCATAGATTTTAGCGGGTAAGTCACCACTTTCAAACTTATTTTGACGCGCGCAGGGCGAGCTGTTCTCCTCGATATGCTTCATCAGTTACTTTTTGATAATTTTCTCCCGAAGTTTGAAACCATAACTTGTTGGACTCATTGGTATAAAGCTATTAGACGAGGTTCTCTCCTCCTTTATAAATAGGAGTACTGTTGGCTAGCTTCCAGTCGGTAGGTTGAGCCTCCTCTTCTATCGAACTTTCAAAGGCCTTTGAAAGGAAGCCGACAATACCCACATGGTATCCACTGACATACCTAAGCCGGCCGCCGATGAATGCCCCTCACGGCAAGTTGAGCCGTGCATTCCCTCTGCACCCTCAACGCCCGCTATATCCGCCCGCTCAGTAGCACTCCCCTTCCACACTCGCTTAAACACCCCACCCCCAGTCCACTTTTCAGCACCACCAACCCCTAGCGCAAGGTCAGGCATAAATGCGTCTGTTGTTTCCGCCTTTATGATTTCTTCCGACTGTCTTTTCCGGACACTAACGACTCGCTGTGAAAGAGCATGGTTGCGAACGTCCAAATGGAATAAGGTACTTAGGAGTTTGAGAAAATTCCCCGAGGCTGGTTGATGTGGACATATCGAAGAAGTCATCAAACTGCAAGGCATAGCCCTGGCTCTCTACGAGCTGTTACATTTTTAGGAGCTCACCCTGGAGTGGTCTGTACTTAAAAGAGAAAATTTT